CTGTTGTAAATACAATTAAAGTTAGTTTTTAATAGTTACTGAATAGGCTACCGTGTGTAAAGATTTTGATTAATAATAATAATAATAATAATAAAACTCAATATAGTCGAGTTCGGGAACAATTGGGAAAGACAGATTTTGGGGCAAACGCTTGCGGAAGAGATAGAGATAAGAGATAGAGATAATTTAATTTGCCACAGATATCAGTTATATACAAGTTATTTTATGATAATAATATAGTTAATTTTAAATAGTCAATATGTATACACCATAAAATAGATATCGGTGGCAAGGAGGCATCCGGAAACCATAGGGCTTGTAAATAGGATGTCTCCTTGGAGCAGTAGTAACAAAAAATATAGATCAGAAAAATGATTAGTTAGGAGAGGTCAAGAAAAACGTAATTAGGCATCTAGCAAGTATTTCAAAATTCTATTCCTGAAGCAATTGATAGTCTGTGCACTTTTGACGGACTCTGGGAGAGAATTCCACAATTTGGGTCCTTGAAATAGGATGGTAAACTGCATTACATTTGTTCTACATGCATGAGCTCGGTATGAACTCGCATTTCTGGTGTTGTAATCATGGATTTCATTGTTGGTAATAAACAGATTGAGAAAAGAAGGTGGTAATAGCTGATTGTGGTAAGAAAACATAAATTTACCAATATGGAAGGAATTAAGCTGATATATATTGAGTATTTTTAATTTACTAAATAGTGGAGCAGTATGCGCCCGGTAATTAGAATTGGTCAGTACTCTGACAATTCGTTTCTGTAATAGAAATATGCGACTTAAATTGGAAACATAGGTGGAGGACCAAGCAGTGTTACAATAGGTAAGGTATGGGTAGATTAACGTATAGTACAATGACAATTTAGTACTAGCTAACAAGTAAAAACGAGCTCGATAAATTATGCCGATAGACTTAGAAATCTTTTTACAGACATGACTAATGTGAGGTTTCCAGGTGAGATTCTCATCCAGAAAAACCCCCAGAAATTTAACCTTTGGTTTACGAGTAATACATTTGTCATCGAAAGAGAGAGATATATCATGAGAGACTTTCTTATGCCTGGAATGGAAAATAACATAGTCTGTTTTGTCAATATTAACAGAAAGTTTATTTGCTCTCATCCAAGAACCGATGCTTTGTAATGCTTCGTTTAACACTGCAGCTAGTACCACAGGGTCAGAGTGAGAGTAACAGATGCTGGTATCATCCGCAAATAACAAAGGTTCAACTATACGGGAGGCATTCGGAAGGTCATTTATATATAAAATAAAAAGGAGAGGGCCCAAAATTGAACCTTGAGGCACACCACATTGGGTAATTAACTGACTAGAAGTAACGTTGTTGTACTGAACAAATTGTTTACGGTTGTGAAAATAACTTTTGATCCAATTTAGCGCGACTCCGCGTATGCCATAGTTTTCGAGCTTTGAAAAAAGTATACCGTGATTTAGTGTGTCAAACGCTTTCGACAAGTCTAGAAATACACCAATAGAAATTTTGTTTTGATCGATTCCAGTTGCTATTTTATTTACTAAATGTGTGAGGGCATGATTAGTTGAATGTTTGGTACGAAAACCAAACTGAAAAGAATACAAAATTTCAAATCTTTCTATAAAATTAAGCAAACGATTATACATAACCTTTTCATAAATTTTAGAGAAACTTGACAAGATCGAGATAGGTCTATAGTAAATATATCTACATCACCAGCTTTAAAAAAGAGGAATTACTTTTGCCGTTTTAAGGTTATTTGGAAATATCGCTTTTTCAAGGGATTTATTAATTACACGCATTAATGGTTTCGAAATAATATCAAACGAACTTTTTACAAGATGCATAGGTATATGATCATAACCAGGTGCTTTTCCGCCTTTAAATGACATAGAGATAATTTTTAGCTCATGTTCAGTAGTAGGTTTAAGGAATATTGTATCACTTATATTTGGTCCAAGGAAATCTCGAAATACACAATTTGTTGGGAGAATCCTGCTTGCCAAGGATGAGCCAATGTTTGTAAAATATTTACAAAATCCATTTGCAATTTCAAGAGGGTCAGTGATCACTGTACCATTTGATTTAAATGACGATGGTAAAGATGACTTCTTGCTTTTAGTATTTATAACCTCGTTTATTAATTTCCAAGTTTCCTTCAAGTCACTTTTTGCTCGATCAAATTTGTTATCATAATAAGTTTTCTTAGCATTTCTAATTAGATGATTTAATTTGTTTTTATACCTTTTGTAATGAAGCTCGCGTTGTAAAGTTGGATTACGCAAGTATTTCTTATAGAGTTTATTCTTTTTTCTAACGGAAACCAATAAACCTTTAGTAATCCAGGGCGTTTTCGGCTTTTTGGAAGGGTGTTTACTTATTTTTAAGGGAAAGCAATCCTCAAAATGCTTATTGTATTCTGCCGAGAAAGAGTCAAATAGTTTATTAGGATCTTGACCCACAACAACACTGGTCCAATCCACTAGAGACAAACTAGTTCGAAATTTGATTAGATTTTGTTCGCTATAGTCTCTATAGGACTTAACTTCTTTTTTATGTGGTACTAATTCAGAACTAAAAAAAAGCAAATATAGGTGAATGATCCGACATATCATTAAGAATAATTCCATTCACCGTGTTTTGTGAAGGACAATTTGTGAATATATTATCAATCAGTGTAGCCGAGTGTGAAGTTAATCGCGTAGGTTTATTTATAAGAGGAATAAACATGTAGGAAAGCATGCTGATCATAATGGAATAAATCCAAATTGAAATCGCCCATAATATAGCATTGTTTGTTATCTTTGGAAATAAAGGAAAGAATTTTGTTGAATTCCTCCATAAAGTGAGTTAAATTTTGATTAGGCGAACGTATAAAGGGTGTCTCAAAAAACCCCAAAATCATTGAAATAACGTATTCTTCGAATTTCAATGCCGTAACACAAAGGATTTTGACAGGGTGATTAATTTGTTTTAAAAAATTAAAATATCTTTGTAAAGTGAACGTTTGTTTGCTCATGGGAATTTAAAAATGCTTCGTAAATTGTAATATGCGTAATATGCATTCGTGGGTTTAGTACTTTATGCCTGACATAACAAGCTTACGCTGAGTATTACCATTCATTATAGCAGTTATGTCAATCTTTTATGCACTCGTGGGATTAACTTAGTGCTAGGGCATTGAATATCGAACAATACGTCAATTTCAATGATTTTGGTTTTTTTTGAGACACCCTGTATAGTACCGACAATAATGTTTTTCCCATTAGGGTTAGCAATTTCAAGGAACAAAGACTCAATTACTTCAGGATTAGAAATTGTGCATTCTTGAATCAATTTGTATTGAAAATGATTTTGTAGATAAAGTCCAACTCCGCCACCTACTTTACTCAGGCGATGATTTGAAATGAAATTATAACCTGAAAAATTTACTAAATCAGAAGTTTCATCATTCAGCCAAGTTTCAGATACTCCGATAATAGAAAACGATTTACGCAAATTTCTGGTCAAGACTTTAAACTTATCAAAATTGCCAATAAGGCTACGACAATTTAGGTGCAACAATGAAAAACCCATATCATCCATTGACTCGTCTATTAAATCGCTAATATCATTTTCAACCATATACCTACTAGTCGGTGGCAACAGAGCTTGAACATTTAAATCTGGGTCAACATTTGACATTGTAAGGCAGTCCATGGCCAAAGCTGAATGTTCAATAGGATTAAATACTAGACATTCTAAGCGATCTAAATCAAAGTGCAATGGGCCATGAGATAATTCGTATATGGCCGCATTAAAAGCTACATCATCTAGATGGCTAAATGGTAGAGGAAAAGCCTCCATAGATGAGACAATATTAGCCATTAATTAATATTACAAAACAACAAAGAAAACACACAAACTTATTATCCTAATTTAACATAGTAAGGTCCTGTAGTTTGGTGAGCTTGATAATCTGTTCGTTTTCGGACTTTCGTAGGCAAACGATTTTATTCTTGACCCAGCAGAACTTAAAATTATTTGCCCGCTTATACTTGTTGGCTTCAAACAGCAGCTCTTGCAGGCGTGGGGTTAAATGTTGGTAGATCTGAAGGCTGTCTAATTTTGTGGTCAATGGTAGATGAAGTTGCTCAGGTTGAACATTACTAGTTTGTTTTCTGGCTTCAATTACTTTTTCTTTCGCCAAACGGCGTACAGATTTACAGATAATTGCGTTCGATCGGTTAGATTGCCTTCTAGCAGGAACACGATGGGCAATGTCCACATCGTAGATCGAGACATCTGCCCCTATGGCAGTAAATAATTTCAGGCACATACTCGTAGTTTCTTCGGCCGATTCATTCGGGTTTTGTTGAGGCATACCAGTAATTTTAATATTGTATTGAGGGTCCTGAAGGGGGGGAGGGGGTCCCAATCCCATTTCCCACCTGAAATTTTGGCAAAATCCCAGTCCCAGTTGGATTTTTATTAGAAATCCCAGTCCAAGTTATTGAAATCCCAGTCAATAAAAAACCCTTTATTTATCGGTACAATAAACAGTTTTAAGACTTTTAAGCCACCGTGTGTGCAAGTGGCGCACACTTTATGAAATTGGGGGAGGGGGGTTGTGCCAAAAGCACGGAAAATTTTTAAATTTGAATCCCGGAAATGGCATTTGCAGCATTCTGAGACACACATAATCAGAAAACCCAGAATTCCGGGCGCCAGAGTATGCCTGTTCGCAGGTAGTGCTGTGAATAACATAGTTAACAACAAAAATCATGACCAAAGACACCAAAAACGAATCAAAATTGTATTTTAAAATACTTAAAACGTAGAAAACTTGGGAATCGACTCGCATTACCTCAATCCCATTCCCATTTTTGAGAACTTCATTTCCCATTCCCAGTGACCAAATCCCAGTCCCAGCAACCCAAATCCCATTTTTCCAGTCTAAAAAGAGATCATCCCAGTTCCCATTTTACCCCTTCAGGACCCTCTGTATTGGTAACTATAATCTTCAATTTGCTCAACGGCGTTTGCAATGACCTCGCATTTCTTTGAAATAATATTAACTTGTTGATTTATATGTTTTAATTCCTTCATTGTATTATTTTTAAACAAAATAAGGTCGTCATTTTGAGCACTAATAAACTCTAAGGACTTATCTTTATCGGCTGTTGACTTGGTTGACTGGGAAGCATGTCTGCCATCTTGTTCAATCAGGCTTTCGTTCTTTTTCGAAATATCCGCGGTTATTTGCTTCAAATTTCCTTGAAGTTCTTCAATTTCCTCTCGTAGCTGTTGGTTTTCTTTACGGAGTTTAGCAGTCGCCATTTCAGAACGAATAGTTCGAAAATATCTCAAAAAATTTCAAATTTCAAGGAGCGGCTCAAGATACGTCCTGTCTCGCTCACTGCTCGCTCACCAATATAGATGTTTGCACAATGTAATTTTATAAACAAAAGTAATTACCACCTTATTAATCCTTGCCGTTTTGACATTGGTGCCGGCTTGTCGGGCAATCAGTACATCATTGGAAAGAGCATGAAATGCTGCATAATATAGGCGAATTTTGGTAACCGTTTTATGTACCGTTGCCGTGGTCTTGAAAGTAGTCTTACGCCCGTATTCTAAAAGCTCACTCACACTCAATGAGTGGAAGTTCAATCTGAGCTTTTCTCGAGTGTCATTGCTGTTCAGTTTTGAATAGCTGGAGGGTTAGTGTCGTACCGTTACTACGTGACTATACTCACATTCAGGGCAGCTATTGAAAAACAGCGCTGACACTCAAGAGAAGCTCAGATTGAACCTCCACTCATACATTGCGTATGAGTGTGAGTGAGCTTTTAGAATACGGGTGTTAGTGCAGGTTTCTGTAATTATGTCAGTAGATTACTAGATTTTATATATAAAGAGTTCATTATTATAATTTTTGTATGATGTTAATGTGATAATCTTAGCGTTTTTGTAAATTTGAAATTGTATGAGGAGTGGAATTCTATGGAACTTTTTTAGGTGGGAGAATACCTCGCACCTGCGAACAAGCTGGGTATGCAGGGAGACCGATTTTTGACAAGTGTTATAATATATGTTATTAAGTTCACAATGTCCACGATGCATGCATGCATACCGTAGTTTGAAAATTAAAATTATATAAAAAATATAAATGTATTTGCCAATGGCTTCAGGATATTTTAAGGAAATTTAATAGATCGATTTCATCAACGATTATATAATTGTAAAACACCAGTCACCAAAACTGAATAGAAAATGCATGGCTATATATTTGGCAGCAATCCCAGTAAAACGATCTATTCTGTAACGAGTCCTCCGGTGACTCGAATCATCACAACTCGATGTGAATCCTCGTGGCTCTGGTTACTAACTCAAAATAGTTGCTATTAGCACTGGCGGCTAAACATGTACAATCAATTAGTCAATATCAATGGCACATTGTCCTTGACAACGTTACTAAAAGTATATACGAAAAACGTCTATACGTGGCCTATAGATGCCTTGCACAATTGAGCATAGAAGCCTTTACGCATCTATAGAGCCCTATAATTGTCCTTGACGACGTAAATTACAAAATGGGCAGTTATGACGGTTTGAAAACGATGCATGCAACTAAATTACATGGTGAGTATATATAGGCTATTGTATTGCCGTCTTTTCTGACAGTTCTTAACGCTTTAAAGTAAATTAGAAAATGATGTAATTATACTCGCTTGCGCGATAGTAAAATATATTCGCCGTTTTGTTCTGTTTATAGTTTTTAGTCGTCACATAATTGAGCGCATCGGAGGCGCTGTATACACCGCACCGCACTCCGCAGGCTCTTATTACAGTCCATGAATGTATATATGTTCAGTTCCGTGCTCAGTATATATAGCCACACTGTACGTGTCAAACATTTTTATATATTATATTTTCGAGGAGTTTGAAATATATTTTGTACTGTATATTGAAATTTGCAGTTTGTAATTGGGAGTTAAATTCGTTTGAAAACTCTGCAAAGCTTCACATTATCTTCCTAGTGTTTTACTTTAGACTGAGATGCCTGCTGTTTTCTATTTGTCATTGTAGTTTCCGGCCGAATTTGAAGCAGTAAAAGGTAATAATGCAATGAATTGCTACATCCAGTTATATAAAGTGCGCACAAGATTAAAACAAGAACCCTGCTGGCTTATGCATGTATTTGTCATTAACATAGCATGGCTGCGTTACAGCCCGCTAGTGCATGTTATAACTGTTATAATTTATAGTTTCCTGCCTGGAAATGCCTAAAATGTCAAGCGAATATAAGCATGTATACATATGAATTTTGAAACGTATAAATACACAGTTTTTGACGTTGTCCAAGATTGTATAGTAATGCGTTGACGCGTTTGCTACTGCAGTTCACTATATATGAAGCGTGTTTTTGAAAGAACGAGACAACACTAGGCCTATATATGTACAATTAGCCATAACGCTTTTGTCGTTGGTCTTGTAGGTTTTATTGATATATACGTGGTTTCGAAAAAAAGAAGCAACACTATGTATGCACAATTAGCCATAACGCTTTTGTCGTTGGTCTGGTAAGTTTTATTGATATATACGTGGTTTTGAAAGAACGAGGCAACACTATATTTACACAAGTAGGTTAAAAATTAACCCCCCCCCCCTCCCCCCATTAGACCATCTTCACCATCTTACACCATCTTCACCACCTGACAACAGCTGTTCAGCTGAACCATCCTACAACATCCGACACCACACTACAAGCGTCCGACAAACAAAGCATCTTACACCATCTTACACCATCTTCACCACCTGACTGACCGATGGCTATATTGGACATATATGGCTTACTTGCAGCTGAGAGGGGAGCCAACTTGCGAAGGACGTAGCTCAACCTGATCGAGTCGAAGGCTCACTAAGGACACTCTGGCAGCAACCTTATGACTCTTATCATTTTCGAGGCAATCAAAGTTCGTTTGATCGCTGAAGACTTGTATGGTCCTGAGATAAATAACGCCGTTAAAAATGCCTCTTGCAAAAAAAGTTTTTTTTTATGCTGTACTGCCGTTGTATGATAAATTTTGTCATAAAAAAAAACCAAGACAGTTACTTGAAGCATTCTACGGATTGATCCCTAATTCGAGACAATATTTAAATTGTCCAGATTCTTATAACGCTGCGAATTTAATTATGATAGAGATACCAGATCATTTAGCTGGATTTTCCAAGGTACTAGCTAGATTTTTCTGGAAGCCACCTTATGACTCATGTCTGATCACGGTGCACAGCTATGGTCACGTGATCGATATCTTCACTAGTGAAGATATGGAAAATATGTCAGTGTGTATTTCTCAGTATCTCACTCTCTACTATATAATAAATATACTTGTTATATAGCTAGCGTGAACACCAAACGTGATTGGCTGATTTGTGGTCACGTGACTTCAGATAAATGCAATGTTTCCCGCCGGGCAACAAGTGAAAAATTGTTGCCCGCCCCGACCGGCCACGTACATAAATAAACAAAATGGAGGCACAATTCAGATAATTAGAAACTACGATTTTCCAAGTTTGTGTTCAAATAAAGAATATAAAAGAGAAGAAAAATACACAACAGGCAACAGGATATGCTGCTGAAACCGTTTATGTAGGTTCTTTTAATTTTAAACTCGTTTACACTATAGAGTTTTTGTCACGAAATGTTGAAGTTGATTTTTGTTCGTCGCTATATAACAAAACACTTAATGTCTGTTCCCTCGGGAAATAGTTAGTTTTGTTTTCCCTCGAATCTCAATGTTTCCCTCGACTTCGTCTCGGGAAACATTGAGAGTCTCGGGGAAAACAAAACTAACTATTTCCCTCGGGAGCAGACATTAAGTGTATAATATACCAGTCCTAATGCATCAGTAAATTATAGTTCAGGTTATACATTTCTACCATGTTATACGAAGGCGATTTATATTTATATTGGCAATTAATGCAGCAAGAAATACTAGGAAAATGTTGTTTATATTGCCTTGGTTCCGTCTACGCAACACTGTGGTCTTTCATCGTGACGTGCGTATTGTATATCCACTAAATCACTAATAGCAATAATTAATGTTTGTGATGTTACTCTGAGTGTGTATTCACAGGCACAGCGAGCAAGCTTGAAAAATATGCCTGGCCACGGTGGGAATCGAACCAACCACTTTTGGAATACTAGCAATTCTCTGCCAACTGGGCTAGTATTCCAAAGGTCGTAGGTTCGATTCCCACCGTGGCCACGCATATTTTTCAAGCTTGCCCGCTGTGGATATACACTCAGAGCAATATCACACACATCATATTCACCTGCATGAGTACAATAACACCAACACAAAAAAGAAAGCAATACTTAAGTTACCTAATTGTTCAAGTCACGGATAGCTACAATACGCACGCGACGGTAAAGGACCATATTTCTGAATAAACCTAAACAAAAACATAGATGATGAGTCATACAACTTATATTTTTAATCAAACCTTCTGGATTAGAGAGTGTTAAGATTAGAATTAGGATTAAGATTGTATCGCCAAATCATAATCAGGTATCTTGACATGGAATTGAGTTGCTTAGTTCATAACAGAACAGGCCTGCTCTGGATTTTCAATCGCATTATCTCACAGCGAGTTGGGGTGAGTAACAAGCCCAGAATAAGCTTGAAAACACGGTTAATTAAGACACCAGTTTCCCTTTCTTCCTAGAAAACTAGCAAATGTGAAATGAGTATAACTTCCGTAACAAAGACATCCATGCCCATAACTGTAAATGGAAAGGAGGAAATAAAATATTATTTCCTGAAAAATAAACAACACTGTAAATTTTGGAATTGATTCAGCTCGTTGAAAATTACGGTGAAGAAGTTTGAAGCAGGAAAACTTTTACTAACTTCTATAGACGTAGCAAATTCGTTCGCAACGTCAAATTTCTTGTTATATTTTATCAGGTCATTTAATTTGATCTTGTAATTCCGTTATCAGGTCATTTGATCTTGTACTTCCTGTAGTGTCCTCTCTTGGTACTAACAGGACAGAAGTTGTTATTTAGTTTAATTATATAAGTGTTACTATTTATTTATTTCATTTATTTATTTAGCATACAAGCATTTAAATGGTCATTAACTTCACAAATGTTCACAAATATACAGGAGCAAATGAAAAAATTAGGAGGCATTTTTTTTCAATGTCAAGTATTCAAAACCTAAAACCTTTTTGGCGTTCCTCTTAATATTAATTTGTCAGTTTAGCTGTATTCTAGCTTTATTTTGTAGTTCACACAGTTAGCAACCTTTTTGAATGTATCTGGCGGT